CTGTTAGATAGATAGAGATAAATATTGATTTGGGTGAAGAGAAGGGCAATGTATGAAATATGAGTGACCAATGTGGCATCATTGAGGAAGAGAAAGACAGAGAGAGGTACATGGGAGGTACAGACAACAAAGATGAACCCTTTTGCACATACAATATTGCGTTGTCAGTGAAGGCAAACATGGGTGTATGGATGGATACATGGGTGGACAGGCTGAACTATCAGGTAAGTCTATGAAGTGGGGAGTGTATCCAAGAATATGTATAAGGTTGGCAGACAATGGTCCTATAAGTTTATGCGAATGATCAGAATTCCCAGGTGTATAGTAGGGCTGACAAGGGGCAAGGTTGCGGTCACAGCTTGGTCCCAGACAGCTACCCAGAGGGACCAAGTAGTTGAACCTGTGGGCTTGGGACCATAGCCGCAGGGGACATCAAGCTCAATTGGCATAACATACTATACAAAACATTGTTCCACCTCCTACTTTAGTGAGTAGCGACTGGGATCTTAAAAGCTAGCAAGCTTCCCTCTAGATGCAACGATGAGTCTCTCCTCATTCAGAGCAAAGAAGAATGAATAAAACCAAAATTCATGGAAACAATTAGTCCTATCAACTGGTACACCATGTGATCTGCAGCCTATATGACTATGAGACCAGAAGAACTGGATGGTGCCCGGCTACCACTGTCATCCACTTGAAAGGGGATCTATCTGGGAGATCCCTGATAGGGAGAACAATGTGGAACAAAACTCAAAATCATTTGGAGAAAAAAATAAAAAAGCGGGGAGGACCAGGTTTGCTGGTCTGATAGCACCTGTTGGAACCGCTGAGACCATGGCCCCTAGCTGCCTTTCAGGACTGGAATTGAACCCACACCTGTGGTTTACAGCCAGACAAAAGACAGGCATATGAGTTGAACATTTACCTGAGTTAGATACACTCTTTGGAGAGAACAATCGTGGGAGAAAGAAGGGCTACTTATGCACAGGGAGACAGCTCAGTGGGCAGGAGTGTATGGAGGGATGGATGGATGGAAAGAGGTAACTGTGGGGAGGAAGTGGGTGGGGAGCTGTTGCATTGTGGTAAATTGTGGTCAATGACATGAGACAAAGTGTATGTGAACTGCTGTATGGGAAGTGAATTTGGTCTGTAAATCTTCACC